ACTCTCCTCCTTCCCTCTCTCCAACAGCTGCGCGTTACTCTCTCCGCTCTCTCTCTCTACCAGCTGCCTGCACTACGCGTGCGTTCGCTTCTACTCACACCGCGCGCGCATGCGCGACTCCCCTCCTCTAGTCTCCTCTACTTCAAGTGTGAATATAGACCAGTGTCCGCGCCAATTCCAGGGCGTCGCCATGTTTATCTACGCTCGCGCCACCACGCGGAGAGAACTGGCAGGCAGGAGGGGGGGCTGCGTTGGCGGCGTTGCTTTGGGGAGCTGGATGCGGCAGGCTGTCCGAATGCACCGGCACATTGTGAACGATGTCTTCACCAGAAGCCTCCGCGACCCGTTCTTCAACAGATAAGATGTCGTGAACATTCGAGAACCCATCTCGATAAAAAAAACAAGAGAAAACCTTTGTTGTCTTAAATGTTCTCGGTGTCTGCTGACCCTTGACATCCGCGTTTCAGTCCGGGTTCATTGCGTAGTAAATATTTCGCTACCGCTTTCTTGTAGCTTTCAAATGCTTGATTGATCGCTTCTTGTATACGACATTACATTCGTGGCACGTTTGAGACCAATTTTCGCGATCGGCTTGGCTTTCTGCGGCAGCGCGGCTCTACCGAGCCGAAATAAGTGGGAGGCCTTCACTTGATCGAACGCCGTTTTAGCGAATGAAAACGAGACCACGACGTTTCATCGAATGACTAGCGAATGGGTCTAGTTACATAGACAGCTCGGATTAGCTTTCTTTTGTAATGTGGCGCCTTGTCTGCCGCTGCGAAGCGGCGTAAACGAGGGCTCCGAGTATGTTAGCACGCGTCCCCACCCCCCCCCCCCCCCCCACACACACACACAAAGACACACTGCGAACGTACTATTAATTGCCAGTTCTAAAGGAGGGTACTTACTTGAAGTGGGAGCTGGAATTCTACGAGGTACCAGGAGACACTTACTATCGGGCAACGAAGCACGGTGCCTGTGGGGGCGGAGTCTAGGAACGCTACTGATTAATATTGTGACAGGCGATCAGTTATGATAGCAGACGAAACTTCGACTCGTTTGTTCAGAAGTTCGCGGTGATATTTTATTAGCCCTCGTTACAGCACACCAAGGATCTTAGGCAGTGAAATTCACATCACGCAGGCTCGTCCGTCGTAGTCAAATGAGCGCAGTCGACGATGAGGTGTAATGAGCTACTAAGCTTCACAAGGAAAATGCGCTTGAGAAAGAGTTTTGAGGAAGTCCAAAACACCGATCCAGCAGACGCACGTACGTACGTTTACTCCGGACTTCATGAACCCGACGGCGCAAGATCAAAGAGCACCGCCGCCATCGCCCCCCGGTTTTCTCTGCACTTTGCGCGACGACGGCACTGCAACGGAGGGCATTCGCCTCGGCGTTAACAATCCGCGAAATAGATTAATTTCCCACTCTTGAAGCCATTCCAAATGATAAATGAAAATACCTCGGCGTTGTTGAACATCTGACGACACAACCAACACAACTGTGCCGCTGGCTGCGTGAGCCTGACACAACTGTGCCGAGCGCCTGCTCGGCACCGTTGTTGCTCGTGAAGGCCTGCTTATTTGTAGTTGAGACGATGATTCCACATCTTTCGTGGTGCTTGCGATAACTTCGAAGGGCAGGGGAACCTTCTCACGAGGACGTTGAAGACACTCAACACCGGAGTCACCACCAAAAGCAATCGCACAAACCGTCGCCATGTTTGCTTCTTCTTCGTCACTCGCGGCGCGGTCAACTCGTCGCGAGATGTTTTCTGGCTCGGCTAGATGGAAACCAACAGCGGCAAAGTGGCGTATGGACACACGGCTCTCACATTACGGGCACTATACTCACATACCGCGGTAAACAGGACCGATGCCGGCGAAACGGCAGTCGGCACACCACCGAAGAAGCCCTCAACGGGAAGCGGCGGCGCAGGCCGACGCAGCCCCCCCGCCCCCCCTCCCCGTGAGCGTCTGGGTTCGAGATTATTGTTCGCTTTTGCTCCTTGCGGTCGAGGCTAAAAAGAGTACTTCCGGACAAAGGTCTATAAGCAGCGGTAGCGCGCTGCGCGCTTTCTTGGCTCAGCAACACTTCCTTTGATTTTCTTGCTCTGAAGACTCTGACTGACTGCGCGCGCTCAGTTCACCGCTGTTGACTCCACTTCACTCCGTTCTTCCGATGAAGTGTGATGGTAGCAACAGTCCCGTCAGTTAGTGGGTTGGCGCAAGCAAGCGTCAGCACCACCCCACAAACTAACGGCAACGCTACGTCCACTGAAGACAAAGCTGCGCAGCGAAGGGCACGCGACGCTGAGCGCAAACGCTTGAAGCGAGCGGCAGACCCTGAACTATGGCAACGAGAAGCGGCGTCCATTCGTCAACGTCGAGCGGCGGATGCTGAACTACGACAACGTGAAGCAGCTGCGGTTCGAGAACGTCGAGCAGCAGAGCCTGAGGCTCGGGACCGTGAAGTTCAACGTAAACGTACGAAGCAAGCGGCGGATTGCGACCTTCGAGAACGGGAAGCCGCGTTGGTTCGTGAACGTGAAGCAGCAGAACCTGAGGTTCGGGACCGTGAAGTTCAACGTAAACGTACGAAGCGAGCGGCGGAACCCGACCTTCGAGAACGGGAAGCCGCGTTGGTTCGTGAACGTCGAGCAGCAGAACCTGAGGTTCGGGACCGTGAAGTTCAACAACTACTAACACGGTTAATAACACCGTTAATAACGATCCGCGATGCTCCGTATCACCCCATGGTTCCCCTCGGGAAGATGGTGTAAATTTTCTTTATTTTTTGTGGCCGTGCGATGCAGATGACAGTTTTAACATTGTAATGGTCAAGCACACTGCTCGTTCACAATAATGCAGTCAGTCGACTGCAGATCAGAAAATGTACTGCCAATTCCCTGCTGCAAAGGCACTCCCCAGGCTCGAATTTGGGCGCCACCACGCATTGGCCCCATTGGCACCTAGTAAACAAATGTATGCACGCATATCCAACACCAAGTACACACTTCGTGCTTCGCGTTTGCGCGTGAAGGCAAGACCGCCAAGACTGCAGCTACTCCGTTCCAACCTGTTCCTTTACCAGAACGTCCATGGCTGAAAATCGTCATCGACATCGCTGGCCCTAGGGCAAGGGACCTACAAGACTGCAAATACGTCATCACCTTAGTCGACTATTTCTCCAAGTGGCTTGAAATGCAGTTCTGCAGAAAAGCTTCCACAAGCATGGTTAGCAGTTTCCTGCATTCTGTCTTTGCTCGCGAGGGTTACCCGGACCAAGTCGTTTGCGACAAGGGGCCATGGTGTTCGTCGCAAAATTCATCCAGCTCTTAAATAAGTACTACAACGAACTTTCGGCGCTTATTTTTTGGTCTATACGTGTTCGAAGGAGCTGTAGCACATCGAACACACCAATATCTTAGTAAAAAGACACAAAAAATAATTAAAAAAAAAATTAAGCGATTAGCAAAGAGTGGATGTCGCTAAAGCCTCGTTTGTAATGCCCGTCTAGGAACCTTGAGAGATAGTAGGGAGTTTTCGTAGATAGTTTTCGCCGTCGCGCAAAGCCCTCCGCAACCCGCTACGATACCCGGAACTCTACAGTCAAGGACATCGGCACGCAGGCGCAGCAGCGGCTTCTGCGTGGCGGAGGGCTTAGCGGAGGGGGAAGCGCGGTCTACGAAAACTCCCTATTGACGATAACTGTCCAGCGGCAGTCTCGAACGAAGCGATTTACAGCACGCGTCCCTGGTTTTGAGAGGGTACGTCAGTGTTGCCCGAATGCGCGGGTTGTGGGTTTTTTAGTCAGTGGGCTGTGGCAGCCTGCGTAGGCGCACTTCCGGATGCTGGTAGAGGCTGAATTCCCGCGTTATATATTTTTTATTTTGTGTTCTATGGCGAATATAATTTTTCGGAGTTTTTAAGATAGCATTGTACTACTTTTAGGGAAAAAAATAAAAACTGTTTTGGTGAGTCCGTTCGCGACAGAACAAATGCAACTGGAATTTTTGTTTCATATTATGTTGATCTTTTTACGGCACCATACACTCAGCCGTCCCGTACGAATATGTCAGATACAGGCCGGAATGAAAAATGCCGGTTCCGCCTGGATCTAAAATTGCGGCCCCAGTTTGTATCCCGCTTGGAACCACACAGTTCCAGACGGGATACAAACCGGTGACCCAATTCTAAATCCAGGCAGAACCAGCTGGTTCCAGTGGCTCCGCAGAGCCACTGGTACCGCGCGGTATCAACCGGTGCCCCACTTTCAGACCCAGGCGGTGCGCCGCCGGTGTTCCCGCTGCGCTCACCACTGGACACAACAAAAGTATTTCGCGCGATGCCCTTAGCCGTTACAAGCGACAGATTGTCGCGATTTCAGACCCATGCGGAACAACCTCGGTCTGAAATCGCGATGATCTCTCAATTTCGATTTCAAGCACAAGCTTGTACTACCCAAGATGAGGGTGCCACAGTTAATTCAAAGCTTCAGCGCAGGAGGCCGATCCTCGGAGCGACATGAAATTGAATAACGCGCAAGCAGCGCCCCCACCAGCCGCCGTCTCAGGCGCGCGCTCCCAGTGGGTTTTCACATTGGTGAAGACCACAGGGGACTAAGAGAGAGGTGTCTAAACTGCTCCGCCTGGCCACGGAAGAATTGCGTGGAAGGTTTGCTTTCATTTCTGACAAACGCCGTGAGATGGCGTGTCATGACAGGGGCTCGAGGAACCGTCGTTATTCGCGCTCAGGTCTTTAAGGCCACGAGGCGCGACCATGCCCGCGCGAAAAAAACTGCACATGCGCTCAGTGTCCCAACCCAAGAGCGCTCCCGCCTGGAGAGGCACGAAGCCCGAGTGGAATTTCGAGCCCCCTTCTGGCCTTGTTATCTCTCTGTTCTTCCAACGTGGAAGAAACTGTATTTGGCAGCTGCTGCTAGAGCATATGGCAGAAAGCGGGCAAAATGGAGGCGCGCGTCGGTGGACGACTTGCCTCCTGTTACTTGCTCCCAGTAATATGAATGTCTTTAAGGCGATTCGCTTGTGAAGGTTGGTAATCTCCACAGCCACAGCCATTGTCAAGGAGGCAAACATCACAAAGCCAATGTTCTGAAAGAAATTGAGTGCGTAAAACAACCGGAGAACGGTGTAAAACAATTTTTTTTGCGCTGGTTTTAATCTAGAAACGGAACTAGTCCTTGCAGAAGGAAACGGTTACGTGTGCAGTGTGACAGTTTCTGGTGGCAAGTTTGTCTCCGGGTAATGCAAATAAAGGAATTTACAACTGAATGCTTTATGAAATAAATATTACACAACACAATCATGGTGGAGAATACGAACCCATTCTCAATCGCGCGACCCTATGGTAGGTGACAGGTTAAACACCGAGTCGATACTCCGTCTCGAGTGCAAGACTTCTGCCTTCAATAACACTTTGTCCCACGGGCAGCCTCAGTCCGTCGAAAGGCAACGAGCGCATGCTGAAGGCAGTGCTTCTCTTAGGCTTTTAACCTGTCATGACTATCGTGTGTGTTAAATTGCTAAATTGCTTCGCCAATATTCACTGTATCCACGCATTCCGCCCTCGTGCAGCAGGATGTAAACGAAGAATTCCGACGCGTTTCAAATTTCTTCCAGTTCCCATTGAGCGCATCAGGCTGAAGCTTACATTGAAGTAGACATTGGTGGTCTCAGTTGTGGTAAGGACGCCGAGGAGAGGAAAGAGTACGAGGGGCATTAGTGACGTCACTGGAAGCGGTATGGGCTCGACGATGTAGTAGAAGGCCATCCACAGCACGACGTATGCACACAGTCCAGCCTAGCAAAGAGAAGCGTGAAAAGCTCGGTATTTTGGGACACTGGGATTTTTTAAAGGAAAGGTACACCTGATTATCTCTCTAGACACAGGCTTCGTAGCCCTTTATTTTGTTAGCTGCTTTCAAAACAATTCTGTGGTTTTCTATTAGTTATAATGCCTCCGCCGTTCTATAGACTCTAGGCTGTCAGATGCAACCTACTAGAAAATACTTTACTAGGGGAAATACAACTCGTTTCGCGATTATCCCATGACCTTGGCTTTGGGAGGTTTGACCTAGTTCATGCGGCTCGATGCGTCAAATCCCGGGGCTTTTCTGCTTTGAACTGGGTGGGTGTCTAAGGCCGTGTATTCTCGTGCAAAACTCGGCTACCGGGCGTTCCTTTGTTATCCGGTGGGCGTGTTTTATTTTGAAGCGTAAAACAACCGAAAATTATTTAATTGACGAACAAATTCAAAGAACCTTGCCTTTATACACAGATTATGTATAATTAAAATGGTTAGAGTTGATTTGACCTCATCAAACGGACGAGTTAAGTGTCCTGTGGGCATTTGGAGGAGAAAGACGTTGGCGCGGCCCGGGGCGTGCGAAAGGGTAGCACTCGATTGCTCGGCCTCCTCGAATAAAGATGTGTTTCTGAAACTTTTTGGTCGTGTCCAGCCTGCCTTGTCCTTGCGAATGAGCCGTATGCACCACCTTCCACTGACATCTTTTGCGTATTTCGAGGGATCACTGACTGACGGCAATGAAGGTGTGGGACGAGCTTCCTGCGCGTACTTAACTTGTTTTTGACTACAGCGCGATTCGCATGCGTCCTCGGGTGCGGTGTTCCGAAACCACTATGAGAGTATTTGGCGCTCTAGACGATCTGTCTAATGCGAATGAGTCAAGTAGTATGCGGTTCTCTTAGTAAAGTAATTTATAAATGGCCTCTAACAGTGCTAGGCATTAGCTGGACCGTTCACCCAATGGTTGAAGACCATGCACGTGGGTATTCTTGCGTTTAATAAAATATGGATATCGACAAACAAAAACCTGATAACTAAAATAGAAAAGAATAAAACACACATTTGAAACGGACGACCAATCCTCCATCCCGCAACAACATAAATGTTTTCGCGTTCGAAATGTGTGATTTATTCTTTCAGCGTCAATCATCGTTAAGCCAATACGCTCATCAGTTTCCTAAAACGTTATACATTTAACGAATAGGACGACCACTATAACATGATGCATTTGTAGAAAAAAAATATTGTGAGAATAATTAGACCAACTGATATTAACGACGTGATCTTTACTCTCTGTTGCAGGTTGAAAACGCAGTAAAAGTTCTCCCCGCAAAGCACTCCATTCTTTCAACTTTAGAAGAGCGAAAGCTGAGAGAAGCCGAGTGGAATGGCCTCCTTTCCAGCGCTCTTTCTGCTAAAGTGGAAAGAGTAAAGGAAATTTGTGAGAGGAGCTTAACTTTCAAAAGGGACTTTTCGTCTACAATCCAGTCAAGTTCCCGAAAATGGCAGCGTCAGTAATAAATATAGCGACCGCTCTGCGATGCCGGCTTATTTACGTTTTTGTGCGCGACCGTTAGGTATGCTCATCAGGCTCAATCCAAGTGGTCACTATCACTTCCGGAAAGAGCGCCCCGCCAGGCTATACCAGCGGAGCGATCGAAGGGATGCGAACCGCCCTTCATTTCCCTAAATGCCTTTTCACGCTAAGCTTATTTTTGCTGGTTTTATGTCGAACGAATGTTTAGATTGCGTGAAGTTACTGTTCCTCCAGGCATCGTATGGTGCTTCCGCTGTAGATGTCAAGAACGGACGCTAACCTGGGATCTTTCACGCGCGTCAGGCAGTATACTGACCACTCCAGCGGATGCCGGTACGATGCCTATCCCGAACCAAACAGGCCGGGAGGAGATCGAACCAAAGATGTATCTCTGAACTCTATCACAGTGCTACCTTTTGTTCTACCTGCCGAGAGCTTGTACAGCGAGAAGTAAATCCCCCCCCCCCCCCCCTTGGGCTGCTACTGTTTCTACTGTAGATCATAAATTCAGTCAGTGCAGCATGACTGGAAGCTCGGGGTCTTTAACGCACATCTAGCAGTGCAGACACATGACCACACGTCGTTAAGATGCTCATTCTGATTGGAATGGTGTGGAGAAAGCCCAGGATTCTTGGGTTCCGCAGCGCGTGTTTTCCCTCCTCCTCTAAGGAGCTTTGTTGCGCGAAGACACTTGGCCACCTACTACCTCATAATGCCTATTGAATGGGAGATATGAAAATTTTCTTTAATGTGGTTTTTGTTGATGTTAACTTCCAGAAGCACGGTAAGTGACTTCACCGAACGCGGGGCGCATGTTCGGGGACGCAAATGAGAAGTACAATGCCGTGCCTATCATCTTTATTTATCTTCTTTCTATCCAAGTTGTTCCTCGGAATCCGCGCCAGAACCTTTTCGCTTCTACGAGCCAAATTCTCGAGAGCCGGATCGTTCTAACGTCGAAAAAACATTGTTGTGAAAATCAAGTAATTGTTGATCGTTCTTGTTTTTTTTTCGCGAGTAGTTTAAGTGACGCAATAAATAACGGCGCAAGTAAGCTTTTGGTAAAAATAAGGAAACCATAATCCGATCACAGGCCAATCATTGCGGGTGTTGTAGTGGGCGGAACGTCCCGGGATATTGCTCTTTAGGTACTCTATACACCGGTAACCATTGCTGTGTGCTGCTTCAAACGTACTGACAGTAAGCTACCCCAGCTTTATCGTTTCACAGGCAAAGCTGTTGTTCGTTGGCTTTGAAGGGTAAGTTCGGTCAAAAAATTAAACTATCGATTTACGGAAACAAAAGCCCACCGCTGCTAAATATTACACTTTTGAAAAAACCGCAATCCACTCTAAAACCGCTATTAAAAGCTAGGAGGACGATTAAGCTTTGAAAAAGCCGCAATCCACTCTAAAACCTCTATTAAAAACTAGGAGGGCGATTAAGCTTCGTCTTTCAGAGTAGAACGCGATGGCGTTATCGGGCCAGGTTCGCATCGCCTTCTTACGCTCTTCTTGCTAGTAAGTACGAAGCGTGGCGCACATGACCTAGAATCTCTTCCGGCAGCGATCGCGGGCGGCCTCAAGAATAGGGTGTTCTTGTAGATCGTTTTCGCCGCCGCGCAACGCTCTCCGCAATGTGCTCCGATGGAAGGAACTCTACAGCCGAGGCCATCGGCGCGCAGGTGCAGTAGCGGCTTCTTCGTTGCGGAGGGCTTAGCGGCGAGAGAAACGCGGCGTACGAAAACGTTCTAATCATGCTGTCCCCAGTAGTGGCGGAAGCGGCCCTTGCCGGTCGTAGTTGCCCTTTTGCTGACACTGCATTTCCTGCTGATCGATACAAGATTATGTTTCTGCGACCTGAAGGATCGCCTTTACAGAGACGAGGAATTCTGAAGTGAGCTAAGCGCGTAGCCGCCCTGGCCGACGTCGCAGCGCTTGGCGCTTTCCAGTTGAATCATGTCTGGCTGCGACACGCGAACTTAAACGGCAACTCCACTCTATTTTTACAATTTTTGGGTTATGATCTGTTTAGTCGAAGCCGGCGGCCCTGAGTCACGAGATATAATTTGTTTTTCGGTAGTGTGTATAGTTTTGTAGATATCGCAAATCCAAGTATCGTTCCGGCGGCACGGCGAAACCGAAACTACCGGTTGAAGCAGCTTGGCAACACTGATACTAGTGGCCCGTCGTCGGCATGACCTAGTTTTGGTCCCGCGCTTCTGAGCCGACGCACCGACAAGGTCGGCTCAATCGCACGTGGAGTTTCAAAACAGAAGGTTAGATGCACATTTTCTTTCTTTACCGCTTCACTTTGTTAATATGCACCAAATGTAGTAAGTCTTAGTGTGTATTTATAAATTTGCCGTCCGGAAAGCGAATCCGACTGCTATAAATATGACGCGGTCGGTGCCGGCGCAGCGTGACTGTATTTGTTTTTTGCTCGCGGACCGAGAGAAAACGAAATAATGGGAGATAGATGGACAGATCTATCCACAAGTGGTCTAAGTTGCTAAGCCAAGGTGCCTTTATGTGGACGCTAGTTAGATCAGCCGCGACCTGCTGCGACCGGCCGATCATGCTGGAGCAGCCGGCGGACGGTACGCGAACAGCGACGGCACTTCATCGTTCTTCAAAGACGCCTGTTTCGAGGAGAAACCCGCAACAGTCAGCAGCCGCAGATCCCGTGTGTAGGTGTCTGACGTAAGGTGCTGGGAGCAGAGCTTCGCGTTGGAGCTCGGAGTCAACGGTCTTCCGAAGTCTATCCGGCGAACGGCACCGACCCACACCTTGTGCCTCTTCCGGTCTCTTGAGAACTGGTGGAACTGCAGCTCCGGGTTGCGCACCGGGTTGTTGGTGCAACCCAGAGCACTACAAATCCTGCTCGACATTGCCCAACGCGAGTCCGGCGAGTCTCTCCGGCTCCACGACGCGCGCGTGAGCGAGCGGCACCGCTTTGCTCTCTTCCGCGCTGTCGCGGAAGCAATGCTGGAGTTAAAGGAACTGCTTGGAGGCTAATAAAAATAGGGAAACACAATATAATGTGGTAAACGCCTCGTGCCGTCAGCAGAATCGCAGAATGCCACGGGAAACGAAGCGCTCGCGGCTTCCGCACGAGAGCGTAGGACTAGAACTACGTCATTGCGCAGTGTTGCTTCACTAGCTCACCCGGTGCCAGCGTTGCTCACCCACTTTCGGGCCGCTAACCGAGCCGGAAGAACATTTTTAATATTGGTTTTAATCGGTAACGCGGCGTCGATTTGACGTGATATTTTGGGTATGACCGTATTTTGACCTCCTAAAGCGATATCAGTCTTTTCGATAGGGTCAACTTTTTGAGTGGAGTTTCCCTTAAAGGGACACTGACAGGGTATTTATGCTCGCCGAGGTTTTTAGTTGTACGTGACATATGAGAGCTCAACTACCCAGAACAGAATTTGCAGCTCGAAATTCGGTTTCTTTCCGCCCGAAAACCGCCGATCAAGAACTGGCCGGTTCGAGTCTCGCTCACTCTCTTTTTTGCGGTCACGGGCCGTTTTCTAAGGTATCGATGCGACCACCAACTTTAATCAAAGTCGTGGGTCACTGAAGGCACACACTCAATATTTAAAATAGAAAAAAATATGAAACCCATTTTTTGCGGCTTCTAAAAGGTGTAAATACGTTGATTGAAAAAAAAGTTCCACAGACAACCGGAAGCATTCTGTGCGTTCGTCGTTTCGCGTATCGTGGGACTCGCGGGGACGGCAATGGTAGCGGACGACGGGCGTGGGACCTAGCTCTATTTCACAACTGTCGTTCGCGGTACCGGCGAATTCAGTCTACCGTTAAAAGAGAAATTTGGGACTGATCAAAAGAATTGGTATTCATCCCGTACGACACGCCCGGCCACCAAGCCGATTTGCACGAAGACGTCGCCGAGCCGTCGCTCCCTTCTCGTGGCTGAAGACATCGCTCGCGCAAACGTCAAGCACGACGTGTCTACTTCGAGTTGAATATGCACGCGTACGATTTCTTTACTAGGTGCGAATGTCCTCAAAGCGTGGTGCATCCCGACTTCGACCCGGGAGTGCTTTTGCTAGAGAAAAATCGACAGCAAACTTTCCAAGTTACAGTTTACCGGCTGAATTATTATTAAGGGAAGAGATCCACTAGAAAAAAGATACCCCGGTAGCTCAGTGGGAAAGACTTCCAGTTTACACGCGGTAGGAGTGGGTTTGATCCCCCGTGATACTTTTTTTTTTTTTTTCAAACATTTTTTGATGTTTGCATATCTTTTTCTTTTTTTACAATCATCACTGAAGAAACAAACAAAAAGATAACAAACAAATGTTGTGGACGATACTTCGCTGAATTAAATGGTATGGGATTTCCGTTTTGACACCTGCGAACTCAATGCAATCACTTTCCACAAAATGCAAGGAGCATATAAATCTGGTAGCGTCCACTTTCCGAGGTGCCCGTAAATGTTCTGCAGGAATCGCAGCCAGCCATTGGTCCCGATCCCGTAGATCTTTCGGAAACTCTGTCGCAGAATGCCACTTTTTTTCGAATGCAGGACATGTGAGCCAGCTCTTCACGCAACATCTTGGGTGTATTCTTTTCGGAGCCGATCATGGAAATTCACCACGGGCACTAACTACTCATCTCCAACTCCTCAATGTACAAAACAACTCATCTTGGAGTACAGAACAACGAGCGGAACAAACATAACTGCAAAAGAATCGCACGGCGCGCAGTTCCCGCACGCCGCATCGCACTCCGCGTATCGTGTCGTCTGCTACGAAAAGGAGAAAACAAAAACAAAAAAAAACAAAAAACGCACGGTCGGGTGTAGCCACGTGACTTCCGCCACTCACTCTCTTCTCTCCACTTCTCCGACCTCCGTTGGGTTTCGGTTTCGGTTTCGAGCAGTTGAGTCTTTTGGCTTTATCAAAAAAAAAAAAAAAAAAAAAATACGCTACTCTGTTGCAAAATATTAATTGCGTAGTCCTCCGACACCTGGCAAAAAATAAAAAAAATTTTTTGGGGGGTGTCAGTGTCCCTTTAATAAGCCCCTGAAAAGAAAAAATTTTTTTTTTTTTGTAACAGACTGCTTGGGACACGCGTGTCAAGAAATATATTTTACCTGAAAAGCATCATTTTAGAATAATGTTGACGGAGCAAGACGCGATTTAGTCGGCAGTCACCCCCTTTCCCCTTGTTTTCTTTCTCGGCATTTCGGGCGCATGGAGGAGAGGTGGAGCGGCTTCTTCTCGACCGAGATGGTCATTCTGGAATGACCAGTGACGTCATGGACTTCTCTCGCAGAATTTCAAATAAATCTCTCGCCGTCAATATTGTTTTTGACACGCGTGTTCCAACCAGACTGTTTAAAAAAAACTTTTTTTCCTTTCAGGAGCTCTTTAAAGGGCAACTTCGGTCGAAAACGAAAGTAAAATAAATGATTTATATTGCTTTAGTGGCACAAAATGGGATCCCAACCGAAATATTACGTCAAAGTGAAGCCGGTTACTCCACTAATACGCATTATAAAGATGCGACGATCTGTTCTTAACCGGGCGACAAGTGGGTTAGCTTTCAGTCAAGGAACACTGCGCAGCATCCTCCTGATGTCACGTCGCGGTGGAGCTGCGGTTGGTTGGTTGTACCGCGTACTGCAGCACCTTCTTTAAGTCACGTCGCGTCCATACGGCTGATGATCGGTGTTGCCATCCGTCTAGCAGATAGTTTCGGTTTTGCCATAAACGCGCGAAACCAAACTTTAAACCGTGATATAAAACAACAAAACAAAAAATTACCCTCAAGGTTGAAAAAAATATACTCTGTAATTCAGGGACGCTGTTCTAGCTGAGAACAGTCGTATTCCCAATCTCAAGAGACATTAACCGGAGTAGCCCTTTAACGCTATCGCGGTAAAAATGCTACCACCAGCTTCTCAACGGGTATTTACCGGGTTGACTGTTTGTCAAACAACCTTGTGCCTTGATGTCATCTTTGTTTTCAAGGAGGTTTATGGTTCGTACTGGCCACTTCTTTCGGCGTGTTTTCCTGCTGCTTTTTGAGCCGTCCCAGTGGATGGTTTCTGCTGGTTATGTTATGCTTTAGCGGCCGTAGCTTATGCTCTTCAGCCATGTCGCACTACGATTATTGACTCCCTGCTCGCTACAGCGCGTCGTGATTCCAAAAGTGGCATCCGCTTCAGCCACAGCTTAGTCCGTTGTTCCTGCTCAGCACGAGCTTCCGATTAGCTTCTTCAGCGCTTCTACAACGCGCATTACACACCACCAAGATTGTAGTTCTACGAAGATAAGTGGGGGCTCTTTCTTAGGCTGCGTTCATCGTGGCCAAGCTCGCTTTTCGGCCGTAAACTTTATCATTGTGTATTAATATTCGCTACATATGTTGGATATCTGCAAAGCAAAACAGTAAAACAGCCGTGGCATCTTACCTGACTGATCGGAACTGCTCTTGCGACTACCAATCGAACGCTTTGCTGTACCGTAATGTGAACTTTGCGGCACACGATGGCCATGTTGCTTATCACAAGGGTTGCTATCATGAGCGAGTCGTTAGTTTCGGTTTCGCCGTAGACCCCAGAATTACAACCTTGAGATAAAATATCTATAAAATTACACAAAACACCGGGAAAAAAATCCGGACACCTCGTAATTTAGGCACACTTCCAGCACGCACACACACACACGCACACAAAAACAAAAAAACACGTCGTAATTTCAAAACTGAGAAAATGCATCGGAGTTGTCATTTAACCACTGTTTCCATCAATTACTTCGTCTAAACACCTAGTGGTTCGCTCGAGGTAAGGAGAAGGAGGTCAGGCCAAACTTGTACCCACCTTTCCGTCCACCCAAAAAGGAACGGGTAGTAAGAACGTGGGCACAGCAAGCAAATAGATGAATCTCCACGACCTCCAGAGGAGGCTCGGTAGCGTGTTCATCCCCAATGCGCTTGTATCTGCGCGTGGAAAGGAATTCTCGCCTCCGGCAAGTAAACACGATACTGGCGGTGATTGCAGAGCATTTGAATGAAACAACATGTCCGACCTTTATTAGAAAAGAAAGAAATTTATTTTGGTTCTGCAATTTAATGTTGCCGAGGTAAGGCTGGATATTGAGATAGACGTCCAGGCAGAATGATTAATAGTATTGTTGTACCAGTTTATTAGACTGAAAGATCGGTATAATTAAACCTTCTACTATTTTATGGACGGCAGTGAGGTTTGTTAAAATAAAGGGCCACCGAGAGTTAGGACTAATAATATTTTGACAGGAAATTGGCAGCGTAGGAACGCCAACTGATTTATGTTAATATCGTTTTGCCTAGCGACATAAAAAAAAACAACACAGAAAACGTATATTTTTTAGGAATGCTTATGGCAGGGTTCTCACTTGTATACCTTATTTCACCTTAGAGACGCAGCCGACGCTACGAGCTGATGGGAGGAGACGGAGTTCACCGAAAGCTCACCATCATGGGGTTCCTCATGTTTCTGTACAGAGCGCGTCACTGCGCGAACAAGTGATCGCCGGATTTTCAAGTTTTTCTTCTTTTTGAAACCAAAGGATGCCATCCAAGTTAATATTGCTACGGAACGAGCTAATTTAGTTATGTAATGTAAGCGATAAAATTTTGTGCTCGCTGATACTATTTAGAAGTAAAATCCGAAAATGCGCCGATGTCGTTCTCGCGCTAAGAGTGTCGCGATATGTACATACATGTTCTATTATTGCTGAAACAATCATAAACAGAAAAGGCCTAGTGACTTGCGCTTTTGTCGCTGTTTGATTGGTCCCATTACCTCGTTGCGTCGGCTGCGTCTGGACTTCACCTGAAACGATGTATAGTTATTAGTGTTTTGTGATTTTACTTTTTATTTTTACCTGCGCAATGCGCCACATTTGGAAAACCTAAATCCTCAACGTTATTATTATTCCTTTTTTTTATAATCTATTTCTTAGCATTAAGCAACCAGTTCACCTTTTACGAAATATGTGCTGCCGTCTATAGGAACACCTGGTTTTGGGATTGCGTACTAGCGAAAGAGATGCCATCCTACATGTTGTAAACAGGCATTAATTACCGACTTCTTTTTGCGGGACAAAGTGTTTCAGTTTTGCGTGAAGCCATACCAACTGTATGGATGGATGGATGAATGCGGCTGAGCCCTTTGGATTGGGCGGTAGCTTATGCCACCTAGCCATTTCATTTTACCATTTAAGCTTAGAATATTTAAATGTGAAATCTATATTCACTCCGCACTGCAAAGAAAGTGGGGCTGTAAAACCCCCTTAATTGCCATCAGTTAATAATAAAATACCTAGTTTTCCCTCGCTTTCTGCCACCATTCACTTAATCTTTGCTTGGTAATCTCTACAGTCTTGAAATCCACTCTCCCTTCACTGTCTCTAAAACCCAATCACTTTATTAAATCCATGTTGTCTTCGGTAGGCATGGGGTGAAGCCCTTTACAGTAGATTATCAAGTGCTCAGCCGTCTCGTCCTCCTCTCCACAAGCAGTGCACACTGTATACATTTCCTGGTACCTCGCTCTGTACGTTCTGGTTCGCAGAACACCCGTCCTCGCCTCAAACAACAATGAGCTTCTCCTAGAATTGTCATAAATGCTTTCTTTGGCAATAACTGTTGTTTAATCTATAGATTTCCAGAGCCGTCTTTGTCGTCATTCCGTCTAGCCACCGATCTCTTTCTGTGGCTTTAACTTTCTTCTTAACTGAGACCTGCTCTTCTGTATCTCCACTATAGTCTAAAAACTTTCCTCTTAATTTCCTAGTGCGCTGTCTCTACTTTGTGTCTATGCTCCTTATGTATATATAGCTGAAAACCTTTCGTGCCCATTGGTCCCCATCCATTTGCCTCAACCGATCCTCAAATTCTATTTTTATTATATGTACTGCCACCTACCGGGACATCGGTGCTCAAGATTGAGTTGCTAGAACACAACGCGTTCGCAAGGCTTGTCCGACTCATTTGACCTCGATGTTTAGGTACCTTCGTAGCATTTCCAGGATTTCTAGTCACATATCTTTGGGATGCACAAATCTGGTTCGTGTTTAAGGCGGACCACCGAGTCGTCATCACACAAACTGTGCGAACTCCTCCCAGGACCCTGGTATACTTTCAAACAGACCCGATGTTGCTGAGGCACGAGTTCATGCGGCTCGCCTCACAAGAAGAAAAAAAAACGATAAAAGGTGATAGCTGACATCGTACAGGCTAAAGCTATTTAATCTCATCAAATAAATGACAAAGCATTCAATCGAAACAGATGGGCTTACGAAATGGGGACGCCATGATTGTTGTTGTTGCTTCGTTCCTTCAACGCGACCAAACGCGCCTTTCTCCTCTTCTTTTGGTGAATACACTTATGCGTGTCACTTCTTGATTTGAGGCTTTTCCCCGCGAAAAAGGCTCGGTAAACGAGGCTTGTGCACGATAAACCCACTGGATCCTGAAAATGTAGCGCCAAGCTCTCCGTATGGTCGCCCTTTTGGTCCGGGAAATGAGCAATTTCTCTTTGACCCCTTCGTTCTTGGTGAGCCGATCTAAATTCGCTGTGACACGGGAAGCTTTATGGAGACGTTTCTTGCATACCGAGAGTTTTCTATCCACACACCGGCGCAACAAGCGTACATCTTCGTACCACCACCACACGCTGTGTCGGTGCTTGGAGGCACTGAAAAATAATTTTAGTTTTTGAAATACGGAAAAAAGAAAAAGAAAACAATATAATTTTAAGAGATCCGTGGAGATGGGCATGATTCATAAGTTGATTGCATACACAGTGCCAAAGACGCTAATATTAGCGAGGTACGCTGCCAGTACGATGACGCTCCATGGTTATCTTGGCGCGACTGGTTTAGAACGAACCCCTGGAAGCTTCGAAGATTTGAATGAAACGAGATGGCGATTTCCTGGCAACGTAGAGAAATTAGCGAATCGCCTTGCGCTGTTTTGGTCGTCTGCATGTTGGTATCCTTTTGTGTCCGGCTAGCAGGCAGGGAAGGCATTGGCACTACTTTCCCAATTTCCAGTGACCTTAGTGCACCATAGACCCCTTCAAAGATTACGCCCTTTTACGGTAGATGAGAAGATACTGCAAAGTGGTTTGTGCAAAAAGCACCAACAAGCTTGAAAGTCTATAACTTGTATACCACTCACTTCCAAGAGGCTGCATATAATTGATATACTTGCCATTTTTATGGTGTTCTTTTTGCACGCTACTTTCCAGTATTTTGGGATCGATTGTATGAGGGCGTAATTTTTAAAGGCGTCTATAGCCCGGCAGTATCTGCTCTGTACCATTTTTGTTTATGCTGACGACATGACATAGTACAGGGGCTGCGAATTTTGTAAGACTCCGTTTTTTTTTAGAACCTTTCGTACATATTGTAGTACAAGAACGTCAGAAATGCATAGTCACGAATCTCCAAAAGAACAGCGTTTGCCGAGCTCTCTACATCTCGTTTCAAAATTGACCAGCGAGAAGCGCAATGCGTATCGCGCTTGTGACATCTAGGGTCTCTGCACGACCAAGGGCACTTCCTCCGAGATCTCGCGCTGGCTGCACTTTTTACGCACTCGTGCGGTGTAGACTGCAGCTGCGAGGCGCTAGGTAGCGCTCGCAACCAAACCAAACAATGCAAAGAAATAGCCGCGAACTATTATCACCCTTCAAGTAACGCCAGGTGAACTAGAATAAACGTACACACAAAGAAAAGACCCTATACACCGCTGGCTTTTATTTGTGCGTATCTTTATTCTAGTTCAGCTAGCCTTACCCGAAGTAAGAACTTCCTCAGCTTATGCCTGTTACAGACAATCATCCTCCCCATTATCCTCGGTCTACGGAACTTATAGGTGAAGACACGGTGGGAGGCACCCTAAAGCCTCTCCAGAGCCGTTTATACTGAGAGAGTTTGGCCGATGGGCGGAGCTTGTTGGCCGCTAGAACAAGCGGATTTCGCGATAACACAATATGGCGTCACTTCTTTGTCTTGTTCATTCCTGAGAAATCGCGTAGAGTTCCTATGAGTCAGAGCCACAATATGGCGGACGGAAGTAGTCATCCCCCGGTTGTCAGACTACGCTGCTTTGGTTGTCAGACTGTCAAAATCTCCTTAAGAAGGCCAAACTCTCTCAGTATAAACGGCTCTGAGCCTCTCTATACTTGGGCGCCATCTATCCCCGTGCGGGTGAAGCGCGCACGGGGCGCCGAACATAATGTGGTCGCCGCGTCGGACAGAGAGTCCTCACCTAAATGTATTTCTTCCACCGTAGGTGGAAGCTCGAAATGTGTTCCCCGGCCCTCGCAGTAACACGCAAACCTTTGGCAAGGAAGAAGTTGATCGATTTTTGAAGGTTAATATTTTCAAAGCGCGGAAGCTGTAGAACAAATTTCCGTGCACGTAAGTGAAGTTCAGAAAGCTATTCTCACACATAATGACAATATATATATATATATATATATATATATATATATATATATATAAAAGTAGAAGCCACCGAGGGTCAAACAAACTTGGGAGGTTTAATTCAACTCGTGTAAGTTATACAGAAACCCGCTTGAGGAAGAAGGGTCCCCCTTCGAAACGTCGCGGTTTCTGTATAACTTATACATGTTGAATTAAGCCTTCCAAGTTTGTTTGACCCTCGGTGGCTTCTACTTTTATAAAAATACGCCTACAGCCTACTTAGCCCCAAGATGTCTATATATATATATATATATATATATTTCTATGTTTGTTTTGCAGGTTCAGACAGTATCCGCACTAGGCAAATATAGGATCGCACTAAATCTTGCATTCTGAGGTATCATCCAGCGAAACAATCCAAAAACCGGAGCAGCGAGTAAAAATTAAAGAACAAACAAACAAACCAATT